CACACTGTAGGGAATTCCACCAGCCGATTTATTTTGGGGGCCTCCAAGACGATTTTGGTGGGCCCTCAAGTAAAGGGAACAGAGATTGGGAGACAGGAGGAGGACACGCTCTGCACTCCCGCAGCTCCTTGCCAAATACATCAGCAATAGGCTAGGGGTTGCATCATGTACAGCTATTTCCTTATGCCTAAAGCAGGACAATGAGAAAAGCTGGGAGAATAATGGGATTTCCAGTTCAGTGACTAAACAAAAATTATTTGGGGGGCTGGGGGGGAGGATTACTCCAGATTGAATCAAAACTAGCAAGAGGGGGTTTGATGAAATGTAAAAAAAATCATTTGGCATCAATCTGAGAAGAAATGTTCTGTGCGTTTCATTGTGGGGAGAACAGCATGTTTTAGGACCCCCCTTTGAACTTTCTTGTTTTTCATTAGGTCAAATATTAAATGAGCTGTTTTGTTTTCAAAATGAAAAAAGTGACAAATGTCAAAACAAAACATTTTGGGCCGCTCTAATTAAAGCACCTGCAGTGCCTGATGTACCAGCATCCCTGCACTTCAAAATGATGGCGGGAACGTTTCAACTAAAGCCCATCAAACAAGCTTTAGTTAAAGTGCCCTCGCTGCCATTTTGAAGTGCAGGGACACTGATATCTGAGACACAAAGGCTGGCTGGAGCAGGCTAATTGGTACGCTTCCGCGGACTCAATTAATCAATTAGTTAGTTGAGTCTGCTCCAACGTGCATCAGAGCAGCTTCCCCACACATGTACAGGCACTGCTAGTTGCTAAAACTGGCCCAAATTCATGACTATATATAGTCCCTCCACCCCCAAATGTCCATTTTTCGGCAGATTTTTATTATCCATAAAAAAATGCCTAATTCCACCAAGGTGGGGCCATAATCACAGGTTTACTTCGCAATAATTTCCAGGAGCCTAGAGAGGCAGGAGAGACTGAGGCTGTGGTGAGTCAAATGGAGAGAACAGGAGACTCAGCTGCTCTCATTAGCCTGGCTCCTACACTGAATCCAGAGCACTGGGAGGACTGCAAGGAAGTTGCTGTACAGTAAATGACAACAAGAAGCTAAACCAGCTGGTACCAGACAAACAGAAAGTTATGCTTTATGGATAGGGCCTGCGGCAGAAATGTCAGATTTGGGTTCAGTTCCTGGCCTTGCCACAGGCTCCTGAGGTGAACTCTTTAAGCAACTAATTGGGTGTCTGCACCTCAGCTCTGCAGCCATGAAACAGATAGTAATTCCTTTCTACCACCGGTATGTCTTGTCTAGTTCAGTATTAAAGCTGGTAAAGGGCCTGACCAAATGGGTGCTCTTATGGAGCTTGTAATTGCTAGAGTAATACAAAAAGCAAGTTTCCAGCACATCAGGGAAGAGGCACAAGACGTAAGGGAGCTAATCTTACTGCGTGAAAACAGACTTCCTGTCCAAGCTAATCAGGCCCTGCTGATCGTGGCCTACCACACAAGATGGGACTTGTGAAGTAGTTTGCCAAAGTCTGGACCTGGATTCAGTGCACAAAGTTCTCACTCCATCTCCAGGGAGTGACAGAGCTACTCGACTGTTCAGAGATGCAAAAACTGATCCATTTTCACCTCGTAAGTCAAGGCAAATGTTGTTGCAGGCTTGTTGGCTTCACTGTGAAACATGATGTTTCCTGATAGTGAACACTGATTTTCACTGGGAAATCATGAGAGCAGGAAGGGGCCTGAAAAATCAGGAATGTGGTGGAACTTGACAAGAAAAATAAACCAACATATTTGGGGGGAAGTGTTATCTACATTTGCCCTGAAAACTATGCCTTACCGTTGCTATTATGAAACAGTGTCTGCGGTAGGAGTTTTTATTCCTATTTCTACAGTTTACAGCATTTTTTGCCTCTGATAAGTCTGTGCAGGCCCTTCTGTTGTGTCCAGAATGAGAAGTGATAGACCCTAAATTCTCCCTAGTGTGACAATAATACAGGCCCCTAGGTTAGGGGCACATCATGTCATGGTAAGGAGCTGGAATTGGTGTCCTGGCATTAGGGATTTGCCAGCAGAAAGGAAGGCTCTGCCACCTGCAGTGCTGGTCCATATTTTGTAGATAAGTCTATGTTCACTGTAAAAGTTTGAAGCCAAGTCCAGCCCTGGCACAAGCCTGGGGACTTCAGTGCACAGCTGTTTGGCTGAGTGCGTATAACAAGAAGTAAAACCATGTCAGTGTTGTAAAAGAAGACAACAAGTCCTTTGCAAGACTAGGGACAAGTGCTCCTAGTTCACATATGTTTCCTGCTGAGACTTGTTTCAAAGATCAGAAGACCACGGAAACGTGCAATTATTTGAGAATACACTGTCAGGCTGCAGGCAGGCACATGCTAAGAAGCTAACTTACCTACAGTTTCCAGTATGCCCAGCTTCTACCATCAGGGACATTGTATGCTAATTTGATGATGGTGCTTACAGCCAGTACGTAGCTCAGAATGATATGGCAGCAGACTACAGCACCCAGCATACACTTGGTTCTGTAGCACTGTGATGTTACACAGTGGAATGTGTTGCCCGTTTGAGCTTCAGTTCCCAGAACCCTTAGCTTTGCACCTCCAGAGCACAGACAGCATGTTTGCAAGCATTACAGCAATAGACGTTAACGTCCTGAGTGCTATAATTCACTGGAGTGTGAGCACTCAGACCAAAATCCTCCCCCACACCCAGACAGTCATTAACAGACTGTGTAGGCTGAAGCACAGTGAAACATTTCTGAGGTTTGTAATATAAAAGAGGCTATATGTAAACGAGAGTCGATATGTAGGCTCCAAGTGATTACCATTAGGAATCCCAGATAAAGTCCAGGAGCTGAGGCAGGACAGGGAATACTACCTTAAGTAGCTGGATTCCTGGGAAGATAGAGGCTCAAGACAGCTGCTTCTCAGGGACAGCACAGTAGTATTTTACCTGAGGTCTCTGCAACAGGGTGTGGTCCGTCTGCTTTTTGTGATTACCTTGTCCAAGGAAGAAGGGACTTGCACACACTTTGTAAACAACTAACTTGCAGTAAGAAAACATATGGGGTCAAATCCTGGCACCAGTGAAGTCAACAGGAATTTTTTAAATTTCAGTGGAACTAAGATACTATCTGGCATCCTGATTCCATTGCCGATTTCTCCTCCAAACAGGAAAGTGACAGTTCCTGAAACCATCACTTTTTGGTGAAGGGGAACACAATTAATCCCCCCCCACCCCTACCAGGGGAAAATAAGAGCCTGTTTATACCATGTCCTCTGAGAGCGACTTAAGCGCATCCTGCTATCTGCTACCCCTCACTCACACACCCCACAAAATATGGCAGTGAAGGTGTTCTGGGGATAACCACCGCAGCCAAGTTCAAGTATATGGGAACTGGAGCTCTCACATAGGGCTGTTGGTAAGGGGAAGGGGAGGAAGGGAAGGAGGATACCCCCAGAGCAGCTTTACTGGCACATTTCTGGGTTCAGCGCATGCAAATGGGAGTGGGTGAGCAGGGAATGCTGAGGACATTGTGTAGACACACTCCAAATGAGCTCTGCTAACACTGCAACTTACCCACTGTAAAATAAATTCAGACAGTTTGCCCTTACCACAGCTTTCTTTCTTTAAATCATGTTAGTATAGTATAGCCCTTTCTGGCCTGTCAAGTCATGGTTAGACAGAAGAGACAGACAGTCGGTTTTGTCCTGTACATAAAGTAAAAGGTGCTGTCAGCCCAAAGCAGCCACTATACTGTAGATGTCATCCTAGACTTTGATATCCCAAGCAAAATTTAAGCTGCCACTGTAACCAGGCAGAGAGAGAACAGAGTGTCTTAGAAACACACCCAGAAACTTTGCTCCTCAGGTGGAAGCTGATGGACAAGGTACTAATACAGCACAACACTACAGAATATTTTTCCCTATTGCGGAAGATGCTTTTGAAAGACTAAACCACAGAGCAAGCCTGGAAATAGGTTGCTGTTACCTTACCTACCTTTATCATAAGTCTTTACTTTCAGAAGCAATGTTGATAACCTATACTGAACCAGAAAAACATTCTATTCACAGAAGCATAAGGCTTGGTTTAACATCTTCATTTGGGTTTTAGTATTTTAAACATATGTGATCATACAGTGGAAAATAGATATTTACATAATATAAGTGTGTATTACAAAAGCAGTTACCAAAAATACATTAAATAAGTATCTGGCTGATGGTTCGATTTCTCTCTCTCTCTCTGTGCTTATTAGCTCCTGGGATGCTGGTCCTCTAAAGAGCATCCTCCTGATCAACCCATTAGGGAAAGCAAAGTGAACAAGTGAGACCTTTGTCTACGTCAAAGTTATTGCACCTCCACCTATGCATAAGAGGGGCTCAGGTGTCTCCACTAACTCCTATATATAAGGCATTCAGTTGATGAGGTCCTACTATCTATTAAGGCAAGGAGGAGGCAAGAAGGTAAGATGAGCACATACTCCTTGCAGAAGTTGGACAGAAATGTTAGCAGCAGCAGAGGTCACTCATGTTCTGACTGATCTGATTCTTAGGCCATGGATTAAGGCAGTAGG